CCTTTAGACCACGGTTAGACCTTTAGAACACGATTAGGCCTTTAGAACACGTTTAGAACTTTAGAACACGGTTAGGCCTTTAGAACACGGTTAGACCTTTAGAACAAGATTAGGCCTTTAGAACAAGATTAGACCTTTAGAACATGTTTAGGCCTTTAGAACACAATTAGACCTTTACAACAAGATTAGGCCTTTACAACAAGATTAGGCCTTTAGAACACGATTAGACCTTTAGAACACGTTTAGGCCTTTAGAACACGGTTAGACCTTTAGAACAAGATTAGGCCTTTAGAACAAGATTAGGCCTTTAGAACACGATTAGACCTTTAGAAAACGATTAGACCTTTAGAACAAGATTAGACCTTTAGAACATGATTAGGCCTTTAGACCACGATTAGACCTTTAGAACAAGATTAGACCTTTAGAACACGATTAGGCCTTTAGAACACGATTAGACCTTTAGAACACAGTTAGACCTTTAGAACAAGATTAGACCTTTAGAACATGATTAGGCCTTTAGACCACGATTAGACCTTTAGAACAAGATTAGGCCTTTAGACCACGGTTAGACCTTTAGAACACGATTAGGCCTTTAGAACACGTTTAGAACTTTAGAACACGGTTAGGCCTTTAGAACACGGTTAGACCTTTAGAACAAGATTAGGCCTTTAGAACAATATTAGGCCTTTAGAACAAGATTAGACCTTTAGAACATGTTTAGGCCTTTAGAACACGATTAGACCTTTACAACAAGATTAGGCCTTTAGAACACGATTAGACCTTTAGAACACGTTTAGGCCTTTAGAACACGGTTAGACCTTTAGAACAAGATTAGGCCTTTAGAACAAGATTAGGCCTTTAGAACACGATTAGACCTTTAGAAAACGATTAGACCTTTAGAACACAGTTAGACCTTTAGAACAAGATTAGACCTTTAGAACACGATTAGGCCTTTAGACCACGATTAGACCTTTAGAACAAGATTAGACCTTTAGAACACGATTAGGCCTTTAGAAAAAGATTAGGCCTTTAGAACACGGTTAGACCTTTAGAACACGATTAGGCCTTTAGACCACGATTAGACCTTTAGAACACGATTAGGCCTTTAGACCACGATTAGACCTTTAGAACACGTTTAGGCCTTTAGACCACGATTAGACCTTTAGACCACGATTAGGCCTTTAGACCACGATTAGACCTTTAGAACACGATTAGGCCTTTAGAATACGTTTAGGCCTTTAGACCACGATTAGACCTTTAGAATACGATTAGACCTTTAGAACACGATTAGGCCTTTAGAACATGTTTAGGCCTTTAGACCACGATTAGGCCTTTAGAACAAGATTAGGCCTTTAGAACACGTTTAGGCCTTTAGAACACGGTTAGGCCTTTAGAACACGGTTAGACCTTTAGAACAAGATTAGGCCTTTAGAACACGATTAGACCTTTAGAACAAGATTAGGCCTTTAGAACACGATTAGACCTTTAGAACAAGATTAGACCTTTAGAACACGTTTAGACCTTTAGACCACGATTAGACCTTTAGAACAAGATTAGGCCTTTAGAACACGATTAGAACTTTAGAACATGATTAGGCCTTTAGAAAACAGTTAGACCTTTAGGACACTATTAGGCCTTTAGAACACGATTAGACCTTAGAACACGATTAGGCCTTTAGAACACGATTAGACCTTTAGAAAACGATTAGACGTTTAGAAAACGATTAGACCTTTAGGACACGTTTACACCTTTAGAACACGGTTAGGCCTTTAAAACACGGTTAGGCCTTTAGAACACGGTTAGACCTTTAGAACACGATTAGACCTTTAGAAAACGATTAGACCTTTGGAACACGGTTAGACCTTTAGACCACAATTAGACCTTTAGAACACGATTGGGCCTTTAGAACACAATTATGCCTTTAGAACACCATTAGACCTTTAGAAAACGATTAGACCTTTGGAACACGGTTAGACCTTTAGACCACAATTAGACCTTTAGACCACAATTAGATCTTTAGAACACGATTGGGCCTTTAGAACACGATTAGGCCTTTAGAACACGATTAGGCTTTTAGAACACGATTAGACCTTTAGAACACGATTAGGCCTTTAGAACACGGTTAGACCTTTAGAACACCTTTGGACATTTAAAACATGATCAGAAAAAGGCTGAACTACCTGTGTTTCCACAAAAGAATTATCAATCAGCTCATCTAGTACAAAATTCATATTAAAATAACTTTAAATAGGAAAAATATAGTTTCTTGAAAACTTATCTAAATGATGAAATCCATAAACACCACATTTAGATGTAAACAACCAAGACTTTGCTAAGGAAGGAAGGAAGGAAGGAAGGAAGGAAGGAAGGAAGGAAGGAAGGAAGGAAGGAAGGAAGGAAGGAAGGAAGGAAGGAAGGAAGGAAGGAAGGAAGGAAGGAAGGAAGGAAGGAAGGAAGGAAGGAAGGAAGGGTTCGGTGATGGTTGCTTGGATGATGGTTGCTTGAGTGACGGTTGGTTGGGTGTCAATCATTGGATGGATCAGATCAGAGTTTGTTCGATGACGGTCGGATGGATGACGGTTGGATGGATGGTGGTCGGATGGATGAGGGTTGGATGGATGGTGGTCGGGTGGATGATGGTTGGATGGATGGTGGTCGGATGGATGAGGGTTGGATGGATGGTGGTCGGATGGATGATGGTTGGATGGATGGTGGTCGGATGGATGACGGTTGGATGGATGACGGTCGGATGGATGACGGTTGGATGGATGGTGGTCGGATGGATGAGGGTTGGATGGATGGTGGTCGGATGGGTGATGGTTGGATGGATGGTGGTCGGATGGATGAGGGTTGGATGGATGGTGGTCGGGTGGATGATGGTTGCTTGAGTGACGGTTGGTTGGGTGTCAATCATTGGATGGATCAGATCAGAGTTTGTTCGATGACGGTCGGATGGATGACGGTTGGATGGATGGTGGTTGGGTGGATGACGGTTTGATGGATGACGGTTGGATGGATGACGGTTGGGTGGATGACGGTTGGATGGATGGTGGTTGGGTGGATGACGGTTGGATGGATGGTGGTTGGGTGGATGACGGTCGGATGGATGACGGTTGGATGGATGGTGGTTGGGTGGATGACGGTTGGATGGATGACGGTTGGATGGATGACGGTTGGGTGGATGACGGTTGGATGGATGGTGGTTGGGTGGATGACGGTTGGGTGGATGACGGTTGGGTGGATGACGGTTGGATGGATGGTGGTTGGGTGGATGACGGTCGGATGGATGACGGTTGGATGGATGGTGGTTGGGTGGATGACGGTTTGATGGATGACGGTTGGATGGATGACGGTTGGGTGGATGACGGTTGGATGGATGGTGGTTGGGTGGATGACGGTTGGATGGATGGTGGTTGGGTGGATGACGGTTGGATGGATGGTGGTTGGGTGGATGACGGTCGGATGGATGACGGTTGGATGGATGACGGTTGGGTGGATGACGGTTGGATGGATGACGGTTGGGTGGATGACGGTTGGATGGATGGTGGTTGGGTGGATGACGGTTGGATGGATGACGGTTGGATGGATGGTGGTTGGGTGGATGACGGTTGGATGGATGACGGTTGGGTGGATGACGGTTGGATGGATGACGGTTGGATGGATGACGGTTGGGTGGATGACGGTTGGATGGATGACGGTTGGATGGATGACGGTTGGGTGGATGACGGTTGGGTGGATGACGGTTGGATGGATGACGGTTGGGTGGATGATGGTTGGATGGATGACGGTTGGATGGATGACAGTTGGATGGATGACGGTTGGGTGGATGAAGGTTGGGTGGATGACGGTTGGGTGGATGACGGTTGCTTGAGTGACGGTTGGTTGGGTGTCAATCATTGGATGGATCAGATCAGAGTTTGTTCGATGACGGTCGGATGGATGACGGTTGGATGGATGCTGGTTGGGTGGATGACGGTTTGATGGATGACGGTTGGATGGATGACGGTTGGATGGATGGTGGTTGGGTGGATGACGGTTTGATGGATGACGGTTGGGTGGATGACGGTTTGATGGATGACGGTTGGATGGATGACGGTTGGGTGGATGACGGTTGGATGGATGGTGGTTGGGTGGATGACGGTTGGATGGATGGTGGTTGGGTGGATGACGGTTGGATGGATGGTGGTTGGGTGGATGACGGTCGGATGGATGACGGTTGGATGGATGGTGGTTGGGTGGATGACGGTTGGATGGATGACGGTTGGATGGATGACGGTTGGGTGGATGACGGTTGGATGGATGGTGGTTGGGTGGATGACGGTTGGGTGGATGACGGTTGGGTGGATGACGGTTTGATGGATGACGGTTGGGTGGATGACGGTTTGATGGATGACGGTTGGATGGATGGTGGTTGGGTGGATGACGGTTTGATGGATGACGGTTGGATGGATGACGGTTGGGTGGATGACGGTTGGGTGGATGGTGGTTGGGTGGATGACGGTTGGATGGATGGTGGTTGGGTGGATGACGGTCGGATGGATGACGGTTGGATGGATGACGGTTGGGTGGATGACGGTTGGATGGATGGTGGTTGGGTGGATGACGGTTGGATGGATGACGGTTGGATGGATGGTGGTTGGGTGGATGACGGTTGGATGGATGACGGTTGGGTGGATGACGGTTGGATGGATGACGGTTGGATGGATGACGGTTGGGTGGATGACGGTTGGATGGATGACGGTTGGATGGATGACGGTTGGGTGGATGACGGTTGGGTGGATGACGGTTGGATGGATGACGGTTGGGTGGATGATGGTTGGATGGATGACGGTTGGATGGATGACAGTTGGATGGATGAAGGTTGGGTGGATGACGGTTGGGTGGATGACGGTTGGGTGACAGTTGCTTGGGTGCTGGTTGCCTGGGTGTCGGTTCATTGGATGGACCAGATCAGAGTTTGTTGGATGATGGTTTGTTCGATGACGGTTGGATGGATGATGGTTGGATGGATGAAGGTTGGATGGATGATGGTTGGATGGATGACGGTTGGATGGATGACGGTCGGATGGATGACGGTCGGATGGCGTTATCTAAGGCTCAGGTATTCAGGAAGGACGTCCTCCCAGAACTCCTCTTCCTCACCAGCTGATGGTCCTCCTCTTCCTCGTCTCTGCTTTGCTTCAGCTGCTGGTTTGCTGCTTTGATGTTTCCCCACTGAAGGTTTCTTCATCTTCACAACCTCCTCTTCCTCCTCATCTTCATCTTCACTCTCATTCTCGTCTTCATCACCATCTTCAGTATCACTATTCCCCTCCTCCTCACTCTCCTCTTCCTCCTCCTCTTCTTCCTCCTCTTCTTCACTTCCTTCCTCCTCTTCTTCACCTTCTTCCTCCTCTTCTTCACTTCCTTCCTCCTCTTCTTCACCTTCTTCCTCCTCTTCTTCACTTCCTTCCTCCTCTTCACTTCCTTCCTCCTCTTCACTTTCTTCCTTCTCTTCATCTTTTTCTTCCTCCTCACCCTCGTTTTCTTCACCTTCTTCCTCCTCCCCCTTACTTTCACTCTCTTCTTCACCTTCCTCCTCCTCTTCCTCTTTTTCTTCCTCCTCTTGGCTTTCAGCCTCTTCCTCCTCCTCTTCCTCCCGCTCTTGGCTTTCAGTCTCTTCCTCCTCTTCCTCTTCCTCCTCTTCCTGTTCTGTTTCATCCTCCTCCTCCATTTTGTCACTCTGCTTTTCTCCACTGCTCTCTGCCTCCTCCTCTTCCTCTCCTTCTAGATCCCTCTTCCTTTCTTCCTCCTCTTCCTCACTCCCTTCCGTTTCCTCTGATGACTTCAGAGTGTCGCTTTCATCTTCCTCTTCCTCACTTTTTGAACTTCCTTCCTCCTCTTCATCACTCTCTGCTCCTTTACTCTGCGTCTCCTGACTTGATCCTTCCTCCTCCTCATCTTCCTCCATATCTCCTCCTTTGCTTCCTTTCTCTTCAGTCTCGTTTCCGCTCTCTGTTGTCCTTTCCTCTTCCTCATCTTCTTCCTCCTCCTCTTCCTCCTCCAGATCTTCTGGTTGAAGAGTGTCGCTGTCTCTCTCCTCCTCTGTTTTCTCCTCACTAACCGTCCTCTCCTCCTTCTGGCTCCCATCAGGGCTGCTTCTCCATCCTTCCTCCTCCTGCTCCTCCTCCTGCTCCTCCTCCTCCTGTCCAGCTGCAGCAGATCCGACCTCCTCCTCCGTTTCCTCCTGACTCTGTCTTGGACTCTCAGAAGCAGGAATGACGTTGATGCTGACGGCTGACTGGTGGCTGACATCCTCAGCAGAGCGGGATTCTGATTCCTCCGGTTCGGTTCTGCTCCGCTCTGACCCGGACCGGGTTCTGGTCGGGCTCCTCTCTGACCCAGACGGGGTTCTGGTCGGGCTCCGCTCTGACCCAGACGGGGTTCTGGTCGGGCTCCTCTCTGACCCAGACCGGGTTCTGGTCGGGCTCCTCTCTGACCCAGACGGGGTTCTGGTCGGGCTCCGCTCTGACCCAGACGGGGTTCTGGTCGGGCTCCTCTCTGACCCAGACGGGGTTCTGGTCGGGCTCCTCTCTGACCCAGACGGGGTTCTGGTCGGGCTCCTCTCTGACCCAGACGGGGTTCTGGTCGGGCTGTCGGAGGCCATCTGTTGGACTAACACGGCGCCCCCTGCTGTCAGGGCGGCGGCTCCGGCGATCAGACCCAGACCCGACGCCTCCTTCCTTCCTGGTTCCTTCTTGCTCGCTGCTTCTTTCCTGTTCCTCTCGTTTTTGGACCTTTTGGCAGAATCCGGGTCGGGTCTGGTTCTGGGTCCCTTGTTCTGTGCAGCGATTGGCTGAGAGCTCTCTGTGGTCAGACTGAGGTCCGTCAAAGAACCAGCCGACGGTTTCCCTTTAACTCTAATGGATCTGGACTCTTTTCCCGCTCTAACGGGTCCGGAACCTTTCTTCCCGGTTTCTGGACGTCGTTTCCAGTCCGCCGCTGGTTTCTGGCGTTTGGACGTCGCTTTAGCGGCTTCACGCCCCCTCTGAGCATCCCTGTTATCGGTTCTCCTGCTCTGCTCCACACCCAGCAGGAGATTCTCTTTGTTCGGACCCGTTTTCTCCTTCCGGCCGGACGAGGAGCGAGCGTCTCCGCCCTCAGGGAGCCCGGCGGGTCCTTCCCGGCGAGCCGACCCGGCGCCTCTCTGATGAGACGGAGGCTTGGCGGAGGAGCCCCTCCCCTCAGAGAGCTTTTTCCGACTCTGCTCTCTGATTGGCCGAGGCTTCCTCTGTCCGGCACAGAAGGCAGCAGAGGACGGAAAAAAAGGAGGAGTTAGAGGAGAGAAGAAGAGGCAGGAAAGAAGAAAAGAGGCTGCAGGTTGTTTCTGGTCCTTTCAAAATAAAATACACTTTTTATAAAGACAGGAGGAAACCAGAAACAAGCTCAGCCTGATGAAGGACAGAAAGGTTCCCAGAACAGCCGTAGGATCCTGAGGCGGACCTACCTTCTCCAGAGGAGACAGAGTGAGGCTTTGATCAGCAGGATCCATCTTCATCACATGCGTCTGTCAAACAAAGCGAGAGTCTGATGAGCGGGAAGCTTCGGCCGCTCTTCAGCAGGAGCAGCTCACACGCTTCTCACCATGTTCAGGAAGTCGCAGGTTTCTCCCAAACCTCTAACGCTGTCTGTGTCCGTCAGGCTCTCCGCCACGCTGCCGGCCCGGCACGCCGTCTGCTCTGAGGAACACCGCACAACTCACCAAAACGCACCGCAACCGTCATCATTTAGCTTTAATCGCTTATTAGCTGCGAGACAGAAAAACTGATCCAAATAGACTCAGATTTATTTGTTAAAATTAGCTATACTTCTAATAAAAAATAACTAAAATATAAATTAATCACTGAATAATGGTGAAAATATAAATAACTTTGAATCTAAAATATTTCAGAGGTACCCGATTTAACATTTTATGGAAAGATTAAAATTTAGTAAATAACAAAACAGTTGTTTTATATTCATCCAAATACAAAAAAAATAAATAAAACCAAAATATGTGTATGAATAAAAAAAAAACTAAAGAAGTGTATTTCATTCACCAAAGATAAGATCTCTTAATTACAAGATCGTATCTTGAAATTACGAGATCTTTGCTCAAAAACTTTGAGCAAAGATCTCGTAATTTCAAGATATGATCTCTTAATTATGAGACTTTTTATTTTAATTATGAGATCTTTTCTCGTAATTAAGAGATAATTATCTCTTAATTACGAGATAAGCTGTATGATGTTTTTTCTTTGGTGAATGCAACATGCTTCTATAAAAAACAGTGGGCTGAATAAAAAGTTGACCAATTCCTTAAATTATTACATTACCATTTATATTATTCATATTTTTAAAAATAAATGTTTATATTAATATGATGCCATTTAAATGAATGTGAAAACAAAAAAATGTATTATATTAATTTAAAAAATTAATGTGTGGTTCTGTAAGTACAGAAGCATGTTGCATTGACCAAAGAAAAATAATCAGACAGTTTATCTCATAACTAGGAGATCGGTATCTAGCATTTATAGTATCTTTCATCTTTAGGAGACCAGGAAGGACAATCGTTGCTGAGCTATGCAACATGAGAAGTGAACAATGAGTGGGTTGTCGGATTTTATCTGCTTTTATTTGCTTTTAGTTATGTGACCAAGGAGGGATTTACCATAAGGAAAAACTAGGCACTAACCGTAGCCTCGTGAGACCATCCTGATCTCGCGAACTTTCAAGGTTTCCCTCGCAGATCAGTCTGGAGACTCTCCGTTGAAGAAAATTTGGAGCCGTTCACCAAACGAACGTCCAATCAGCGTTGGCTTTGAGGCGGGTTGAGGTGTGACGCAACGAGAAGCGCGACAGTTCAGTCTAAAGAACATGGCGGCTTCAGACGATGAAACTAGCGTTAGCGTGGCTATCGAGCAAGTTTTATCGGAATTACAGAATATTTCTTCACTGACAGAAGAGCAAAACACTGCTCTGGAGGCTTTTCTCAGAGGAAAAGATGTTTTTGCTCTTCTCCCGACTGGTTTCGGCAAGAGTTTGATCTATTAATTGGCTCCTCTTCGTCGTCGCTCTGTTAGTACGTCATATGCTTCGTTGATCTGATTGGTTTATTTGGCCCGTCTATCACCAACATAGGCCAATCAGCTAACCAGTATTTTCGCCCCTTCCCAAAATTACTTCAACGGAAGGTTTCCAGATGGATATGCGGAGCAAATCCATCTGGCGGAGTCAGGTTACAATAACCTAGGGTCCCAAGTTGCTGGGGACCCCAATTATGTTTTTAACTAAAATGCCATCAGAACACTGATAATATTAAGTTCAGTGTCCACCATATTGGATCAGTCCATTTGCTGCACATGTTCAGAAAGGTCCAAACAGACAGCAGCAAACCATTTGAAAACAAACCATGCAAAGAGCAGTGTTGCCAACTTAGCGCTTTAGTCGCTATATTTAGCCACTTTTCAGACCCCTCTAGCACTTTGATTTCTAAAAAGCTCCTAGCGCCAAATCTAGAGACTTTTTTCTGCTACTGGAGACTTTGGAGACAACATCTAAAAGCAGCGAACTCTGCTCTCCAGAGCGAGTAGATTGGTAACCCCGCCTCCTGCTCTAATTATGAGATAAGCTGTCTGATTTATTATTTTTTTTCCTTTGGTAAATGCAACACGCTTCAGTATATAAGCAAAAAATACTAATATAAAATAAAATACAGCTAGAAATATAATCCTATTCTTCATTAATATTTCAGCTATATTTGTATTTTAATTTTGTATAAAAAAAGCATTTTTAATATCAAAAATCCTAACTGAAAAACCAAAAGTTCAGAACTAATAAATAATCTATTTTTAATCTACTTTTAGATCAGGAGGATAAAACTAGATAAAATCTGTAGAACAGATTTAATCTCTAATCTGATCTTTAGTTTCTTTCTAATCCAGATGAGGCGGGTCGATAGTGACCCATTGGTTCTAACGCAGCAGGAGGTGTGGGAGGGGCTAGGTACCCTGAGGGGCGGAGCCTGAGCTGGGCTGTCGGTTGGACCCTTTCAGAACCTTCCTGTGGCTCAGCTCGGGTGGAGGCAGCCTGGGCGGGACGGGCAGGAAGCCGGCAGGCAGCGTGCCAATCGTGGTTCCAAACTGGTCCGGAGATCGTTCCTGAAGGCCAGAAAAACAGATTCCATCAGCCGGTTCTGGTTCTGGTTCTGACCCGATCAGCTTCAGGCCTCAGAACCCACCCTCTCTCTGCGGCGAACCCGGGCCGACAGGCTCCGCTGCAGAGACGGGACGGCGGCGTCCCCCAGCAGCTCCACGTAGGGCCTCTCCAGGACGTCCTCCGTGACATCATCGTCCTCCAGAAGGACGTCGGGGGCAGACGGGTCTCTGGGCCGGGCCAGAACCACCATGTGGCAGCCTCCGCACACCGCCTGGACAGGAACACGGGTCAGCGGCGCCGCCTCGGCGAAGAACAGCCGCACCGGAAGCAGAACTCACCGCCTGGACGTGGTACTTCAGGAAGCGAGGACACAGAGTGGGTTTGAACTGGTTGGTGAAGTTCTCCTCCCCCAGGCCCAGTTTGCCATGACGACCGTCTCCGAAGGTGTACAGCAGCCCCCCCTCTGAGGAAAGAGTCGGGTTTAAGAGCTGGGACACCGACCGCTCGGTTCTGATCGGGTGGGGCGGCGCTCACCTGTCACCACGGCCGTGTGGTTCTCGCCGCAGGACACCCGGAGCGCCCGGCCCTTCTGGAAGTGCTCCACGGGGCGGGGCAGCCGCGACTCGAAGATGAACGTCCCATGACCCAGCTGCCCGAACTGGCCCAGTCCGAACGAGTAGACGTCGTCCTCTGAAAGGCGGGAGAGCATCGGCTAACGGGTCATCAAATAAAAAACACCACTTCCTGTTTCTGCTCGAAAAACATTTCAGTCATGGTTCAGCAAATATCTGGAATTATTAAAGAACTTAGTGGGAAAGGAAATAAATCTAAAATTAACTTATTAATGTTTCATTTAGGTAAAAATTTATGAATTAAAAGGAGGAGAGGAGAAAAGAGAGGAATAGAGAGACAGCGACACTCCTCTACCAGGAGATCTGGAGGAGGAGGAAAGAACAAAAGTAAGGGGAAAGGAAGCAAAGGAGGAGATAGGGAGGAAGAAGAGGAGGAAGGATCAAGTCAGGAGACGCAGAGTAAAGGAGCAAAGAGTGATGAAGAAGGAGGGAGGTCAAAAAATGAGGAAGAAGAAGATGAAAGCAACACTCTGAAGTCATCAGAGGAAACGGAAGGGAGTGAGGAAGAGGAGGAAGAAAGGAAGAGAAATGTGGGAGAGGAAGAGGAGAGAGAGAGAGGAGTGGAGAGAAGCAGAGTGATAACAAGGAGGAGGAAACAGAAAAGGAGGAGAAGGAGTAGGAAGAGGAGGAGGCTGAAAGCCAAGAGGAGGACAAAAAAGAGGAAGAGGAGGAAAAGGGTAAAGAAGAGAGTGAAAGTAAGGAGGAGGGGGGCGAAGGTGAAGAAAACGAAGATATGGAGGAAGAAAAAGATGAAGAGCAGGAAGAAAGTAAGGAGGAGGGGGGCGAAGGTGAAGAAAACGAAGATATGGAGGAAGAAAAAGATGAAGAGCAGGAAGAAAGTAAGGAGGAGGGGGGCGAAGGTGAAGAAAACGAAGATATGGAGGAAGAAAAAGATGAAGAGCAGGAAGAAAGTAAGGAGGAGGAGAGGAGTGAGACTGAAGATGGTGATGAAGACCAGAATGAGAGAAGATGAAGAAGAGGAGGAGGCCCAGAGCAGTAGAGAAAAGCAGAGTAACAAAATGGAGGAGAACTAATCTTATTTAGTTAAAATGAATAAATTAATGCGTAATCAATTTAATCTAAATGTAAAGAAATCTAAACTAAACGAGGAAAAGATGAAACCAGGGAACCAAACATGTAGTTCCTCTCTAAGGTCCGGTCCGTACCGGTCAGAGCCACAGTGTGTCCCCCGCCGCACGCCACCTGCTTCACCGCCTCCTTGATGCTCTTCACCCTCTGAGGAACTCTGTGTCCGGGCAGCTGCTCCGTCCCCAGGCCCAGCTTGCCGCTGTCCCGCTCCCCGAACGTGTACAGAGCTCCGTCGGCTGCAGAGAGAAGGACCACGAGTCAAAGCTCTGCTGCGTTTCCATCCATCAGCGGGATCTAAGCTTCAAGGCCGCCGTTAAAACGAGAGATAGAAATATACTGATTAGAGATGCTCCGCGTATGAACGACTGGTTTTATTACGGGGGGGTTCAATTCTATTCAGTTTATTTCTATAGAACCAATTCACATCATGTCATCTCAGGTCACTTTCCAGTTCAACCAGATCATCCAGTCAGATTGATTCAAAGTTTTCTATCTAAGGAAAACCAGCTGATTGCATCGACTCATTGACTCTTCAGCAATCCCTCACACTAAGCATGCTTGTAGCGACAGTGGAGAGGAAAAACTCCCTTTGAGGAGGCTGAGATCATGGGGTTAAGCCTGTAACAAAAGTAAAAAGGTATTTTCTTGTCCTCCAAATCATTCTTAGCTTAAAAATTAGATTTTCAAAGTATTTCAATGAGAGCCCTATAAAGGGTTAATTGATAAACACCATAAAAAAAAAACAGTTTTTGGTTCTAATCAGCATTATTTATCCATAGGTTCATAACAAGAGTCAGAAGTTGTGTTGTTCTGGTCTCACCCGTCACCAGAGCAGAGTGGTAGTATCCACAGGACACCCAGCTGATTGGACGACCCACGCTGACTTCCTGCGGCGTGGACGCCTGGCTGGCCTTCCCCAGACCGATCTGACCCTCCGTGTTCTCGCCCCACATGAACAGCTTCCCGCTCGCTGCAAACATCAAACCCACTCAAATGTTTCTGAGGAGACTCCTGCAGCAGAGCGGACCATGTTTTTCTTCTTCTATGGTGTTGGTTGTTTCAAACAGCTTTGATCTATTAACCGACCAATCAGAGCACCAGCTTTATGCTACACTCTGAGTCCAACAGAGTGTAGCATAAAAAATCAGAAGCAAAAAAATGAACTGCAAGGAATCACTTGCAAAAAAAAAAAATCAGCAACAAAAAAAAATCCCCTGCAAAAAATTTACCTGCAAAAAAAAATCAGCTACAAAAAAAAAATCACCTGCAAAAAAAATCAGCTACAAAAAAAAAAAACACCTGCAAAAAATTTACCTGCAAAAAATCAGCTACAAAAAAATTCACCTGCAAAAAATTAATTTGAAAAAAAAAATAGCTACAAAAAAAAAATCAGCTACAAAAAAAATTCACCTGCAAAAAATTAATTTGAAAAAAAAATTAGCTACAAAAAAAAATCAGCTACAAAAAACATCACCTTCAAAAAATTTACCTGCAAAAAAAAAAAAATCTGGTACGAAAAAAAAAAACCCCTGCAAAAAAATCAGGTACAAAAAAAAAAGAAAAATCCCTGCAAAGAAAATCACATGCAAAAAAATTCAAGAGCAAAAAAAATATCTGCAAAAAATTCACATGTAAAGACTTCAGCTGAAATTTGATGCACTTGAATTTTTTGCAGGGAATTTTATTTTTTTGTAGCTGAATTTTCACCAGATAAAAATTCCATAAATAAATGTACTTCCATAAACCTTCTTTTTCTGAAAAACAAACTAAAAATTGGTGCCTTTTTATCCTCTTCACAGTAATTTACAATATTTAAAACTAAAATATTGTTAAAAGTTACTTTTGGGGAAAAAAAATTAATGGGAATATATCAAATTGCTTTCCTGAATAAAACAAGACATTCTTTCAGTTTAAGGCTGAGTCAGAACCTAAGGGGAACAAAAATACTTTAAAAAGAATTTATTAAAAATTTTCCTAAATAAAGATAAGCTGCTTTTTGAAAAGTTTCAGTTGATGTTTCTAGTTGGTAAAATAAAAAAAGGTTTAAATGTTTCATCTTTTTCTCTGATTAAAAGGTATCAGGAATAAGTAAATAAATTCAAAGCGGCGTAGCTCTGAGCAAACGGCCGCCTCTCACCTGTGAGAGCGGCCGAGGTGTTTGAACCCGCAGCGAGCATCCTGATTGGTCCCAGAGAGTCGAAGAACTTCACCCTCTGGAAGGTGGTCCGCTCCTCGCAGTCGCCCAGCCCCAGCTGCCCCTCGCCGTTCCCCCCGCAGGCGTACACGTGGCCCCGCTCTGCTGACAGACACCCAGCATGAAGGAGTGGAAATTCAAATCAAGGACAAACCGTGGTTCTGGAAACAGGAAACAGACCGGTGCTGATCAGAGTGTGGTTCCGTCCGCACGCCACCTGCTGGACTTTTTCAGACTTTAAGGCTGAAAAACAAAACAACATCAGCATCGTCACCGTTCTACGTATAACTGCCTCCATCCTCAGTCTGACGGCTCAGGCTACCTTTGACACAGGTGGGTTTATGCACCGTCTGCTTGGAGCCCAGACCCAGCTGGCCCCAGTTGTTACTGCCAAACATGAACAGCTTCTTGTTTTCTGAGGAAACAAACAGAGAAACTCAGTAAAACTCTGCTTCTTCTTCAGGAGAATTCCCCAAAAAAGGAAAAAAAAAACAATCCACTGATCTTTGTTTCCAAGTTTGAAGACGTTTCTCTTCCATCCAGGAAGATTTTTCAATCAAAATGTCAGAAATAGCGTTTAGTTCCAGGTTTTATCCAGCAGCCCAACAAAGCCTGGTTTTAGTTTAGAAAACAAGCAAATAGAAACGGATGAACGGGTCCCCCCCTTTGGAATGGGGGTCGTTTGGCTTCTTTGTTAGCCTGCAATGCCCCATACCTGTCTATATCCCTGAAAGGGGGGGGGGGGGGGGGGGGGGGGGGGGGGGGGGGTTGTTAGAGGGAATAGTTGGCCTGGCTGAATAGGTGAGGTCTTCTGTTCTCCTCTGTTTAAGTTACCCTTTCTGATCCCTTGCATACTCCTTACAATTGAGCCCCCCCCCAGTGAGGTCTAGAGGCACAAGATCTATGTTATATATCTGGCCATTCAGCAAAGATCCTGTTACATGGCATCGTACATCTTATATTTTTGCATTTAACCAAATAGCTGAGCCATTGAATGATAGATTATGATATATAAATTAAGTTGGGGGGGGCAAAAAAAGGTTAAAAAACTAATTAAAAAGTTAAAATGTCAAGTTCAAAAGGTAAAAAGTTTATTAAATGTTAAAAATTCAAGAGAAAAAATGAAAAAATTGACAAAATTCAACACTATAGGCTTGAAATTTTGATTTTTAAAGGATTTCACTTAGCGCCTTTTGAAAGGTTAAGATTGTTTTTTCTTTCCTAACATAGATGGCTTCTTCTTTGTCCAAAATGTGAACATTCTGGTCCTCCAAAGAATGTCCTTTGTCCATCAGGTGTAGATGTACTGCTTGTCCAGAGCAGGGCGCTCTTCTGTGTTGGGCCATGCGTCTGTGGAGAGGTTGTTTGGTTTCTCCAATAGAAAGATCAGAGCATTGACCTGCAGACACTCTGCTCAGATTAGGTCTGGGGGTTTTATCTTTAAGATGAACTAGTCTCTGTTTAAGGATCTTGTTTGGTTTGAAATATTCTGGGATTTTGTGTTTGGAGAAAATCCTCTTGAGTTTTTCAGAGACTCCAGCAACATGATGGGATGGAGATGTTTTTTTGTTTAATCTTCTCAATTTTCTTTGCTGGTTTGACAAACACCCAGTTTGTGTCTCCACAGGTTTAAAAAGCATCTTTGATGTGTTTCTGTTCTTTGTTCTTCCCTTCTGTTTTAGTTCGGCTACTCTATAAAACCTGGAACTCAACGATATTTCTGACATTTTGAATTGAAAAAGCTTCCTGGATGGAAGAGAAACGTCTTCAAACTTGGAAACAAAGTCCACTGGATTGTTTTTTAACTTTTTTTGGAATGACTCTGACCTGGATGACTGAGAATCTACACCAGCGGACTTCATGAGGAGTTTAAATTTAAATAAAAACACAGTTTTTACCTGTGATTAAGGCGGTGTGTTCATCTCCACAGGCGATCCTGTAAGGTACGTCGTTCTTCAGCCAGAACTTACTGGGGATGTTATCTGCAAACTTGCTCTTTCCAAATGTGAAAACTGCTCCTGATTCTGCAGGAAGATGAGCGTAAAAAAACAAAAACAAACTATTTACCATTAGGCAATACCGGGTAGGTGCCTAGGGCCCCAAGTTCCTGGGGGCCCCCATCAAACTCTGTTTACATGCATGGTTGATACAGCAATTCCTTATTTTTGCACATTAATTATGTTTTTAACTAAAATTCCATCAGAACGATGATAATATTAAGTGTGTCTCAGCCCAATCAAAGACAGCATGAAAAGTCAGCTGAGTACAAAACATAGAGAGAAAAACAAGAAGAAAAGGGACAAGAAGAGAGGGACACAACCTAGAACAGATAATGGATGTCTATTCTATTAACATTTATCTATCTGTAGAATGGGGCTGTTCTATGTGTTGTCTTCTCCATTCAGAGGGTCCCCTGCCTGTCTTTGCTAGGGCCCCAGATTTCCCTAAATCCGCCCCTGATCATCCTTAAACATCTTTAAATTAAAACAGTCAGATAAAAAAACAGGTTTTCTCTTTAGAACCTTTTAAATCTATTTTAAACTGAAGCTAAATGTGATCTGGAGGTGAAAATCATCTGAGGTGTAAATTTAATGAACCCTTAAAAACAACAAACGGAGCACATAAAGTTAATGTTTAAGAAAATATGAACTAATATGTTCTTTATTCGTTAGCCTGTGGGCTAATGCAGGAGCTAACGTGAGGGTCTAAGGTAGCTAATTACCCGGACGTTGCTAGGTTACGCACTTTCTACGTTAATATCACAAAATTCTCCTTTAAAGCTCCGACATTGATCTAAATCATCTTTATTTCACCTGGTATCTCGTCTTCGTTCTCCTCTGCCATCTCTAACGGGACTTTAATCCGCTTTGCTCGCTGTTTTGGGCGTGTTGTCGCTCTAGCTAGCGGCAACCCGGAAGTAAACAACATGTCTCCTAGGAAACCAAGCGCTGGCTTTGACCTCTTAAAGGAACAGCACAGATTTAGGAAAACTGCTGTCCTACTTTGGTAAAACTCACAGAATTATTCATTAGGATTTAATTTATTTATTTAAATGAACACAAACCCAGCAGTAGGAGTTGAACATATGTGTTGGAGCTATTTATTCCTTATATACACTTTGAATTGTGTAAATAAATATAAATAAATAATAAAATTATTTACAGAGTTTATTGTAGGTTAATAATTGTTGATTCTATTTATCTTGTATATCTTTTCTTGTATTGTTCTGAAGTGAGACAGAAAATGATGTGGATTAGTCCACTTTCTATAAGTTTAGGGGCCAGGAGGCATTTTGGGTTTGGGGCCCATGGTTTTTAGCAGAACAGGAGAGGTAGTAGAAAGAATAAATGAAAGTTTGAACTCTGTAATCTCTGGCTGAAATAGGAAAATATATCATCGAGAACCATCATGAAGTTTGGACGTTGAACATTCTTTTGCCCAATTATAGAAACCTGACCCCAGTGCCTTAATGACGGTTTAATGGAACCTTTTTTTAAAGGATGTTTGGCTTGGCAAACAATCGCCACAATACGGAAGAGGATTAGGGACACTGAAAAAAAAAAAGTTAACTGATTTTTACATTTTATTTCAGTTTAATAATGGATAAAGGTCAGAATTCTGAGAAAAAAGTCAGAATTTTGAAAAAAAAAAAAAAACAGTCAGAATCCTGAGATTACAGTCAGAATTCTGAAACAAAAGTCAGAATTCTGAGAAAAAAGTCAGAATTCTAAAAAAAAAAGTCAGAATTCTGAGATTAAAGGCATTTTATACATCTCCAGTCTGCCACATCACCACATCATTACATCACACACGTTAGCAGATGAGGAGACATGAGTAGACACAATATTACACTTTGTTCTTAGCTGAAGGACGCCGCTCTCATTTCATTCCCCAATATTTGCCACATACAGAATGAAGATTATTAGGATTATAACTGTAAATCTGGACATAGGAACTGTCTTAATTACATAAACTATTAGGGAAAACATCAGTTCAGACACACAACAGGCAGCTAATACCAAGGTGTAATAAACTGACACATAATCAATGATAATTATCTCAAAAAAATAAAAGAACTCTGCACAGGTATAGAAATTATACATAGTTTTAAACTGAACTTCTTTCATCTTTGGTAATACAGAAAATAATTGAAAATCTGGTTCTGATCTCAATAACTTCCATTTCAGAAAACATGTTTAACCCTTTATAGAGCAAGTTAACATTTTTGATCACTTATACCCCTTAAAAATGGAGCCCCCCCGTCCCTCAGTGAGGTCTAGAAGCACAAGATCTATATCCAGCCATTCAGCAAAGATGCTGCTACATGTCTATACATCTTATTTTGGAATTTGACCAATTAGATGAGCCCTTAAATGATAGATTATCTACTGGAAATTAAGTTAGGAAAAAAAGTTAACAAGTCAAGAAAAAAAAGGTAAAATGCTTATTGAAAAGTTAATAAGTTAATAAGCCTAGTTAACAATTATATTTAGGTTTATAAACTAAAAAATGTAAATTTGTTTCTTTCACTCTCAGAGTGCTTTTTACGAATTTCTTAAAGAACAACTTTTGTTATTTTTATTTATATATTCGGGAAAGTTGGTGTTTTTTTAACATTGACATTAATTTTTGCCATCAAAATATCCATATCTTCTGAATGTTACAAAGGTAATACGGTCTTGTTCTGGATTCCAATAGCACTATTGATATTTTAACTATATTGGTATTTCACTAGGTGGCCTATAAAGGGTTAAAGATAAATTCCTCTTCATTGGGAGAGGGAAAAAGTCCTTATTTATATTTACACTTATCATTTTGTTGTTGAATCTGAGATGCGTAAAATCGTATCTTTCTATAAGAAGAGTGGGAAAGATAGGAATTATCTCTGCAGGCAATCTAAGTTATATTTTCTTTTAAATTCTGTGTAATATAGAATATCACCTTTTGTGTGATGAACAATGGCCCAAATACCTTTTTCCTTCCAGTCCTTGTAGTACAGAATTTTTTTCTCTCATATGCTAATTGCAATAATTTAGAGAACAAAACAAAAAAAACACAATTCCTTTAAAATGTTTTTGTTCCCATTAAGTTCTGACTCAGCTTTATTACTTCTCCACCCGTTTTCCTATGATTTTTATTTTCCAGTCACATTCAGTTACAAAAATCTGAATGCACCAGTGACTCAAACAACAGAATGCACCTCCTACTCACAAGATGCCTGCATAGGGCGTTTCTGTCCCATTGTAACTTCTTCTGTGGTGAAAGCAGGCATGAATCAGGTAAAGGATTCCTAAGTAAAACCTTGATCCAATGTTTTTCTATCAACCGACTCACCAAATGTAATTATTGCCCAGCCCTCCAAACCGACTTCTTTTGGAACCTGTTCTATTCAGAAATGGCAGCACTTCTAGGAATTCTACCCACTGCTGAGTAATGAGGCCACTCATTCATTCCCTCCCAACTTGTGTTAAAGGCATGCAACACTCCTAATGCACATACAACACTCCCAATGTGTATGCAGCTCTCCAAATGCGCATGCAACACTCCCAGTGTTCATGCAGCATTCCAAATGTGTATGCAGCTCTCCTAATGCGCATGCAGAACTCCTAATGCGCATGCAACACTCCTAATGCGCATGCAGAACTCCTAATGCGCATGCAACACTCCTAATGCGCATGCAGAACTCCAAATGCGCATGCAACACTCCCAATGCGCATGCAGCACTCCCAGTGTTCATGCAGCTCTTCAAATGTGTATGCAGCTCTCCTAATGCACATGCAGCACTCCCAGTGTTCATGCAACACTCCCAATGCGCATGCAGCTCTCCTAATGCGCATGCAGCACTCCCAGTGTTCATGCAACACTCCCAATGCGCATGCAGCTCTCCTAATGCACATGCAGCACTCCCAGTGTTCATGCAACACTCCCAATGCGCATGCAGCTCTCCTAATGCACATGCACCACTCCCAGTGTTCATGCAACACTCTCAATGCGCATGCAGCACTCCTAATGCACATGCAGCACTCCCAGTGTTCATGCAGCTCTCCAAATGTGTATGCAGCTCTCCTAATGCGCATGCAGAACTCCTAATGCACATGCAGCTCTCCAAATGTGTATGCAGCTCTCCTAATGAGCATGCAGCTCTCCAAATGCGCATGCAACACTCCCAATGCGCATGCAGCACTCCTAATGCGCATGCAGCACTCCCAGTGTGTATGCAGCTCTCCAAATGTGTATGCAGCTCTCCTAATGCGCATGCAGAACTCCTAATGCGCATGCAACACTCCTAATGCGCATGCAGAACTCCTAATGCACATGCAACACTCCCAATGCGCATGCAGCACTCCTAATGCGCATGCAGAACTCCTAATGCACATGGATCACTCCTAATGCGCATGCAGAACTCCTAATGCGCATGCAGAACTCCTAATGCACATGCAACACTCCTAATGCGCATGCAGAACTCCTAATGCGCATGCAGAACTCCTAATGCGCATGCAGCACTCCCAATGCGCATGCAACACTCCCAATGCGCATGCAGCACTCCCAATGTGCATGCAACACTCCCAATGCGCATGCAGCAATCCTAATGCGCTTGCAGCACTCCTAATGCGCATGCAGCACTCCCAATGCGCATGCAGCACTCCTAATGCGCATACAGCACTCCTAATGCGCATGCAGCACTCCCAATGCGCATGCAGCACTCCCAATGTGCATGCAACACTCCCAATGCGCATGCAGCAATCCTAATGCGCTTGCAGCACTCCTAATGCGCATGCAGCAATCCTAATGCGCTTGCAGCACTCCTAATGCGCATGCAGCAATCCTAATGCGCTTGCAGCACTCCCAATGCGCATGCAGCAATCCTAATGCGCTTGCAGCACTCCTAATGCGCATGCAGCACTCCCAATGCGCATGCTACACCCCTAATGCGCATGCAGCAATCCTAATGCGCTTGCAGCACTCCCAATGCGCATGCAGCAATCCTAATGCGCTTGCAGCACTCCTAATGCGCTTGCAGCACTCCTAATGCGCATGCAGCAATCCTAATGCGCTTGCAGCACTCCCAATGCGCATGCAGCACTCCTAATGCGCTTGCAGCACTCCTAATGCGCATGCAGCACTCCCAATGCGCATGCAGCACACCTAATGCGCTTGCAACACTCCCAATGCACATGCTACACCCCTAATGCACATGCAGCAAACCCAATGCGCGTTTCCTTGCGGGTGAAAATAAATACTCCTTGACAGGGCCACTGGAAGTATTTTTGATTTTAGGGTCCTCTGAATTTTATTTTTTTCTAAGCCTATAGGTCTATTTAAAATACAAGTAAAAAGAAAATCAATAAATAGAAATATATTACTTTATTGTCATATACACTTACTGTATACACGTAGGTTTGATCAGCCGGCAGGAGCCTGAGTCACTGTGTTTATGTCACACAGGATTCTATTAATTCCAAAATTCTTTTACAAAAAAAACACAAGTAAATTATAATATTATACTATCTAAACGTAATTGAACAGTTCTCAACGTCCATTACACAAAGAACACAAGATCAAAGTAACACTCTAACATACCATGGTTACGTCAAACTGCACAAATAGATTTGAAAGTGTGCAGCAGCAACATGCTCTTACTTTGAGCTACAGACGGGTTGCCATGGTTACAGGTGTTCAAATGTTGAAGTGCGCTCTGAGGTCGTGGAGATAAAAGTCCCTCATGAGCGGATGAATCTGGAATGTGTCTTTAAGCCATATTTCCTCCTCGTTTCTGATATTAGACTATTTAAATTTACTAGTCTGATTCAGTGATTATATGAGCTTGTGTTGATTAGGCCATCAAAATAATTTAAATTCCAAGTACACGTAATAGTAAACATTTTAAAAAAGTCAAAATAATTTCCCAAAATGTTCATAAGAAACGTATAAATTGTGCAAAGTATTTTTAATACATTTTTTTTAAGCACCCCCACTTACTGTGGCCATGCTTGTAAATACAGTTGACAGACTCTGCCATTGTAAACCACAAGAAGAAAAATAACAGTTGGCCTCGAGACTGGTTCTGCTGGAGGTTTCTTCCTGTTCAAAGGGAGTTTTTCCTCTCCACTGTCGCTACAAGCATGCTTAGTGTGAGGGATTGCTGAAGAGTCAATGAGTCGATGCAATCAGCTGGTTTTCCTTGGATAGAAAACTTTGAATGAATCTGACTGGATGATCTGGTGAACTGGAAAGTGACCTGAGATCACATCATGTGAATTGGTGCTATAGAAACAAAATGAATAGAATTGAACACACAAGATGTTGTAAGCTAGTGATATTAGACTATCAGTTATGAGCTTAAATCCAAGAACAGAAAATTATTAGCTGAAACCCGTCTGGAAAATCGACGAACAAGGAGTGAATGGATGAAAATAAATCCAGATTTTCCAAAAAATATATTCTCTAAAAACAGCAACACTTCAATAAATTGATCAAATCATTTTGTCACCCAGCCCTATTATGGAAACTCAGGCGGAGGAGCCAACTAACATTAAAAAAAAGAAACTAAACAAAATGATTAATGATTTAAAAAGATAGATAAATTATAAAAGAGAAGATAAAGAATCCTAACCATTAACCCAAACACCTAAAAAACAGAACTATAGCAGCCAGCATTGAGCTGGAAATCCAAGATGGCTGCCTTGTCTATGTAGAGCAGCTTTGTCTTTTTTTTTTCCTTTTTCCCTTTCTTTCCATTTTTTTGATAACTGAAAAACAAATATTTCAGCAAACACTGATGGAGCCATTTCCCCGTAAAATTTCACTGAAACTACATGAGCACCCGCATTTGATTTAGAAAGGACTTTAAATAAATATTCAGCTCCAAACTGAATATTTAGTTTGCCAATTAAATATTTAGTTTGTTAAATAAATATTTACCTACAAACTAAAACACCAAGCTAGCTAAATTTTTAGCCAATATGCAAACTCCCTTGCCAAAAAGCCGAAGTGAACTACCAAAGTAAAACCTGGGAATCTCAATACTATTTATATTAAATATTTAGTTTGTTAATTACATATTTAATTTGGAGCTAAATATTTATCTAAAAAAAATGAAATATTTAATTTGGAGCTAAATTTTTATCTAAAAAATATATATATTTTAATTTGCAAACTAAATATTTAGTTTGGAGCTAAATATTTATTTAACCAAAATAAACATTACCGCCGCCATAAATCTGACGCTCATTTCAAGGTTTTCCATCAATTCAGGACGTAATTCTTCTGCTTTCTATTCTCCTACAGCAACAAAAGCCAAACAAGTATAAAATTTGGAATTTAAAATGTAAATGTAGAAAAGATATTTCTTTTATTATTTGTTCCTGAAGCTGAATCGTACGACGGCGTATTAGGGCCAGGCTAGAGATTTTTTCTTCTTCTTCTATTTCGAGAATAAAGTCGTAAAATTACGAGAATAAAGTTGTAATATTACGAGAATAAAGTCGTAAAATTACAAGAATAAAGTCGTAAAATTACGAGAATAAAGTTGTACCATTACTAGAATAAAGTCGTAAAATTACGAGAATAAAGTTGTAATATTACGAGAATAAAGTCGTAAAATTACGAGAATAAAGTCGTAAAATTACGAGAATAAAGTTGTACCATTACTAGAATAAAGTCGTAAAATTACGAGAATAAAGTTGTACCATTACTAGAATAAAGTCGTAAAATTACGAGAATAAAGTTGTAATATTAAGAGAATAAAGTCGTAAAATTACGAGAATAAAGTCGTAAAATTACGAGAATAAAGTTGTACCATTACTAGAATAAAGTCGTAAAATTACGAGAATAAAGTTGTACCATTACTAGAATAAAGTCGTAAAATTACGAGAATAAAGTTGTAATATTAAGAGAATAAAGTCGTAAAATTACAAGAATAAAGTCGTAAAATTACGAGAATAAAGTTGTAGCATTACTAGAATAAAGTCGTAAAATTACAAGAATAAAGTCGTAAAATTACAAGAACAAAGTCGTAAAATTATGAGAATAAAGTCAGAACATTACGAGAATAAAGTCGTAAAATTACGAGAATAAAGTCAGAACATTACGAGAATAAAGTCGTAAAATTACGAGAATAAAGTCATAACATTACGAGAATAAAGTCGTAAAATTACGAGAATAAAGTCATAACATTATGAGAATAAAGTCGTAAAATTACGAGAATAAAGTCATAACATTACGAGAATAAAGTTGTAACATTACGAGAATAGTCGTAAAATTACGAGAATAAAGTCGTAACATTACGAGAATAAAGTTGTAACATTACGAGAATAAAGTCGTAAAATTATGAGAATAAAGTCAAAACATTACGAGAATAAAGTCAAAACATTACAAGAATAATATGGTAAAATTACGAGAATGAAGTCGTAACATTACGAGAATAAAGTGGTAAAATTACGAGAATAAAGTCCTAACATTAAGAGAATAAAACCGTAAAATTACAAGAACAAAGTCCTAATGTTAAGAAAATAAAGTCCTAGAATTACGAGAAACAAGTTATGACAACTCTTCCACTTTCTTCCCTAAAGTGAGGAATGTGGAGCATCATGTGAAGTTCTACTTTAGCATCGGTTTGACCAATCAGGAAATCTTTTAGCAGCAGCATCAAACTGGGCAGGATGTCAAAGTGGACTCTGGTTGCTGATTGGTGGAGCTGATCGTCCGTCATCTGCTGGGCGGAGCTCCAAGCTTTCTTTCTGAAATGGTTGATGTTTGATGACTTCATTCTTGTAATTTAACATCTTTATTCTCGCAATGGAAGAAAAAAAAATGTCCAGCCTCGCCCTAATAGTCGGTCATAGAAATTTTTCCTTTGGAGAGAAGTCAGTCGGTTTCTTTCGGCTTGATGGAGAAGGTGCTGTAGATTCCCCAGTGGTCGCTGGTGAACATGCCACACCTGAGCTTCTCCAGCCCGATCAGAGCCATGCTGTGGGGGTCCATCTGGGGGACTCCGTCCTGGGCGGCCCTTCGCAGGTACACCCGGTCGAAGCGGAAGCGGCACTTGAATTCAATCTCCTTGTTGGTGTTTGCCCCCGTGTCCCACGTGTAGCGGCACTTCTCCGGCTCTCCCAGCTGCTCCCACAGGTCACAGACATTAGGGAGAAGCCCCACAGCAGCCACCTGGGTGAGAACATCAGGATCAGAGCTGAAGACAGAGCAGTAAGAGGAGACCTGGGGAAGAATGGAACCTCATAGTCTCTCAGGTTGGTGTCTCCTCCAAACAGAACCGTCACGTCATCTGGAGCCTGGCTCATCTTCCTCATCACCAGCCTCAGCTGCCTCATCCTCTCCTCGCTGTTGGCCTTACAGCTCTCAAAGTGGGACGTCATCAGCTGCAGCTTCTGGCCTCTGAACACCACCTGCATCACAGAATTTTCAAAATAAAAGCCCCTCTCAGGAATTGATTAATTAATTGGTTTTATTGATCTCAGAGTGGAGAAATTTACTCGTTACATCAGCTCAAATAGTTAAAGGAGAAGAAGAAGAAGGTGCCAGAGGAATAAAAAGCTGCATGGGATAGATGTACATATATACATGCTGTGTTTGAATTCATGGGCTGCGTCCTCCGAAGGCCAGATTCGAAGGACGATCACGTCATAGCGCAGCCTACAAATGCGTCCTCCTTTTTGTCCGATTTGAAGGACGGGTCCGGTTTATCCTCTCTATCCTTGGATATCCCAGGATTCATTGCGAGACCAAGCAAGCCGGCTGCTCCGTGATCAGAGGAAAAAGGTAACTGGCGCCAAACAGTGGTGAATATTGGAAGTGCAGTTTAACATAATACAAGTATTTAAATAGTTGCGTCTGAAATGAATTACAGAAATTGTTTAAATGGTTATTGAGTCAGATATGTGGCGGTAATGTTTGGTTTATCTAAAGGTTTTTATCTGTTACTGTATAAATGGGTTTGGCTGTAATTTAAGGACAGATTCTAATATATCTGCAGTGTGGGGACTATAAATCTGATCTGCAGGGTGATGCTCTTGCTTTCAGAGGCGTAAGTAACCTTCCTCGATTTAAAAGACCATCAAGTTCCTCTGCTGTAGCATCAGACTGATCTAAAATTCTTCCGAGAACGGACCCCTGGTGAGACGGACCCCGCAGAGTCGAGGCCGAATTTTCATTGCTATTTTACGACGAGTATTAGGGCCAGGCTAGAGAGGCTATTTGAAAATAGCAGCAACATCAGAGATGTGCAAAATGACAGCAGCGGGTTATTTAACTGACTAAGGTTTCTATCATTACACATTTTGGTTGGAACCTTTATTCCACTCTGGATTCTCATGAGTTTAGTCTTTGTTTACTTTACAATTAAAAAAGAAAAAATGAAAACAAAACGGTTTTGAAAATTTCAGTATTCATTCTTTCCATGCTTTGCGTGTCAACCGTCATGGTTGCCAAGCAACAGAGCGTACGGCGGTAGAAGACCTTCTAAGGATCCAGTGTAAGTAGAGGGCGTCCTTGGAGGAAGCAGCCCATGGATTGGAACGCAGCCATGGAAAGGTTTTTCTAAAGGACATTTAAAGGTGCAGGAACCTGAGCAACCAGCAGGTTTCTCATCATGCGGGACTTTGGAAAGCGGAGAACCTGACTGTCCAGCAGTGTGAGGCGTGACTTCTTCAGCAGAATCATGGTGAAATAACCCTCCTTTGCACCTGCAGGAGACACAGCGTTCAATTCTATTCAGTTTATTTCTATAGCTCCAATTCACATCATGTCATCTCAGGTCACTTTCCAGTTCAACCAGATCATCCAGTCAGATTGATTCAAAGTTTTCTATCTAAGGAAAACCAGCTGATTGCATCGACTCATTGACTCTTCAGCAATCCCTCACACTACACTAGAAAAAAATCTAAATCTAGAGAAGTCATTTTTTTTCTTAAAATAAGTGCATTTATTCTTGGGTTGAGGAGGTAAAGGAGACATTTTGCCAATGGAACAAGATAATTTAGATGTAGATCTAATTATCTTATGTTAAGAGTAAAATACTCATTCCATTGGGAAACTATCTAATTTAACTGCTCAGATTAAGAGTAAATCTACTTGATTTAAGACATTTTTACTTATTTCTGGATTGTTTTTCCAGTGTAAGCATGTTTGTAGCGACAGTGGGGAGGAAAAACTCTATTTTAACAGGAAGAAACCTCCAGCAGACCCTCATCCCAGATGGCTAAAATCAATCACAGAAAGCCTTTATGGGCCAGAGGACCTTCTATGAAGATGTAGGTGTCCGCCAGACGTTTGTACATGAAGCGCATGTAGGCCTGGACCATTTCCTGAAGAAGCACCACGTCAGCAGAGTATCTGTGGAGAGAGATCAGTTCAAACGGGTCCGGAATCAGCAAAAAAATCAAACCGAGGAGGTTCATCTTACGACAGGAGGTATGAGCAGAGGCTTCTGGCTCTTTCCGGCTGCTCCTCTTCATCCAGCCCATCGATGTTCCAGGTGATCAGGGACAGTTTCTCATCCTCTCGGCTCCTGGTTGGCTCCTCGCTGCAGAGAGCATCTTTCTCAGTCAGATCAGAGTTTAGACGTTATGAAATGTTCAGCAGCTATTGGACGCAGCAATCTCCCAGCAAAGGACGGATATCACGCATTTAAAAAGAACATTTAGGCCAAAGGTCACAGAATCCCAATCTGATTTAAAACATTTATAAATTGAATTAAAATGATATTATATTAATTATAAAAACAGCAGTGACTAATTTCACTTGCTCCTCCTCTCCTGTTAATACGGTAAAGCCCTGTGGCGCGTCCGGCTCCAGGCTGCACGTGATCCAAATGAGCTAACGTGAGTATGCTAGCACAATATCTGGCGGGCCAATCAAATTGTCAGGGCGGGCTTTATACGATGATGGACAGGTGATCAACAGTAACGTAATCAACCACGTGACCAATGCGCGCTTGGGTGACAACAACAATGGCTGCCGCAGGAGAGTTGAGGTGAGTAGATTCTGCTATTAGGTCTGTTCTAGAAGATATCGACAGCAAATTAATTTTAAAAGAGGAACAGAGAAACGCGATCAAGGCTCATCTTCTTATTCTAGGCGTGCAACTGCACGCTTTGATTTTTGTGGACAACAACTATGTGTCGCTTAAAGGAATAGTACAGTTCTTGCTGTCTGCTGACATTCAAATAATGGAGGTCTATGGCGCCCGAGGCAGAAAGGTCCATAAAAGTCCACAAAAAAAGTGTCAATATTCCTCCATACTGCTCGTCCAATGTATTTCAAGTGTCCTGAGTGGGTAGCGTCCATAATTTACTCGAAACGAAGTCATTTAGAATGTTTTTAGAGCATAAACAGTAGTGTATAGGATTTCCTGAAAGCGCGTTCACGAGTCTACGGAAACCGCGGCAGACCAAACCAGACGAAAGTGCGCATTCAGCTCGGCAAAGAACTCATGCTCTTCCTCAACACTGAAGTCCTCAGACATTTTTCTTTCGTTGTTTCTTTCTTTGCACAGGTAAACAGCACATTTCTTCTTCTACGCTTGCATTATTGGCAGAGCAGACGCTGAATGCGCACTTTCATCTGATTTGGTCTGCCGGCTTCCGTAGCGTCCAGAACGCGCTTTTAGGAAATCCTATACACTACTGTTTATGCTCTAAAAACATTCTAAATGACTTCGTTTCGAGTAAATTATGGACGCTACCCACTCAGGACACTTGGAATACATTGGACGAGCAGTATGGAGGAATATTGACACGTTTTTTGTGGACTTTTATGGACCTTTCTGCCTCGGGCGCCATAGACCTCCATTATTTGAATGTCAGCAGACAGCAAGAAGCCTCCCAGATCTCCAGATGCATTTGAGATATCAAAAAAGTACTCCAGAGTGTTGTTCAGCATGGGGGTGAGTAGAAAATGAAGGCTAATCATGTTTTGGGTGTACTATTCCTTTAACATACGTCACGCACTCCGTTGCTCTTATTGGTTGTAGGTCTATCCAATTGAGTGCAGAGGCTTTTTTTTTCCTGGTCCGTTCAAAACACGCCCCATAATCACAGCTCTATAGAGCTAGAGCAGCATCAGACTCATTCTGACTAGAATTGAGTCGGACTACGTCAGGCTACCATCTGGCCCCCCATGAAACATTTCTGGAGGAGCCACTGTTACCAGTTATAAACGCTTAATTAACCAACCTAACGACAACAACGATGTCTCTGGTGCATTTTTTTTTAAAGTCTCTAAATGTAGGCTACCTGCCGCATCAGAGACCTAAAGATGACCTCAGAGGGAACGCTTTGGAGCCAAATGATTCATAATGGAGATCTTTGCACAGAAATTGACACAGATTGAAATAATTGTTACCGCATCAATAGTCACAGCAGATATTGATAAACATTAAAACTCGAGTAATTATTTACAGCAATACCCATCTAAACACCCATCGTGTTTGTAACTTTGGAGCCTTTAAAGCTCCTTAGATGCCTGAGAAAAAATGTCAATCCCTACTGAGAATAACCCTAGGAGGACATTAAAGTTTAAACATGTTAATTTTTAAATCAGTACAGGAGCAGCAGAGCTTCAGGCAATGAGTGCGTGAATTACCTGCTTTCTGGTCTACCTGCTGCACAGCCAGCAGCTGTTCTCTGTTCTCCTTCCATCACAGCCTGCAGACTGAATGAAGCAGCTGCCTACCTGCGAGTCAACAGGGAGCAGCCTGAGTTTCTGTTTCTCCAGAATACGTCACATGACTTTTAGCACGCGCCCATAACGTTTATAGTCCCCAATCAAAGCCTGGGACTACGGAAACCGAGAGCGATCGTGTCCATAAAGTTTATATAAAAGTCGTGGAGCAGGAATTATGGGCGCCATCTTGGGGAGGTCGTCCCGCTCATAGATATCCATAGTAAAGGCCTCTATTATGGATATCTATGGTCCCGCTCCCCTAAGCAGGTTGATGCTTCAGCACTGCAGAGTGTTTCTGTTTAAATCAACAGACTGATGACGTCAGAGCTGGAGGGAGAACTTCTGAGCTTTGGAAGATAAACAACAGATATACACCACATAGAATAGAAAAAAAAATAGAATAAGTGAAAGAGTTAAAAACAAAAAATATCCAATCCAATTTTATTTGTCAAGCAAAAAATAAATAAGTAAAACATTTGTCTGTGTAAATAAGAAAAACAGCTCAAATATGGGTAAAAATAACATTTACATAATATATATATATATATATATATATATATATATATATATATATATATATATATATATATATATATATATATATATATATATATATATATATATATATATATATATATATAAATATTAAAATAAATAAATAAATAAATAAAATACTGTACTGTACAGTGTGTACATGTAAATACTGTGCATCTGAAAAATAGATAAGCCTATACAGCGGGGGATGTTTTTACAGTATCTAACGATATATATATATATATATAAATATGGAGACAGAGATGGATGGATGTTACAGATATTTTTTTGCAATCCACATTTCAAACCAGCAGGTGGCGGTAAAGCCTCAATGTTATTAAAAGCGGAACCATTATTTCGGGTTTTTGTGTTTCATACCGGTGAAGGAAATTGTCCGGGACAACCTGCTACAGAGTTGAGGCTGTTTTAGAAACTTTTGTCATTTATTTTTATATTTTATAGCCTTGTTTTAACGAGTTTATTAATCTACATTAAGACGTAATTAACTGTTTTAGCAGATGATCTTTTAAGGTACGTTTGGTTACTTTTTCAAGCAAATAACAGCTAACATTAGCTTCCGGTCAATTTAAAAAGGCAGGTCATTTTTTGGTGTTTTGAACCTGAAATGTGGATCGTTTTTCCATAAAAGGCATTAATAATGATAGGGAAACTGATGCCGATTTATAGATATGCATTCATTTAATTTAATTTTATTCAGTAAAAATTCTACGTAAATTATATTTGCAGATAAAAGAGTAAATATTAAAATTCTGAGATTTTTAAATGAAGCATGGTTGGTGATTCGTTTTTCCAGGACTTTTCCCATTCCCTTAGGTTTCTCTTTTTATAAAGGAAAAAAAAAACAGTCTATTTTTATTTTCTAAATGATGAATAAATCCTTTATAACACAACCTGTGTTTATAACGAGAAATATTTAATTTGCTTGTTTGAAATCCGGAGGATCTAAAGCAAACTTCCAGGATTGGCTTGAGATCTCCAGGATTTCCAGGATCAAAGTTAAACTGGCTTTAAACAGGAAGATTTCACCCTTTTTAACTCTAATATAACAATATTTTTAATGAAAATTACAATTTTATGAGTAACATGTCATGTACTAAAATAATCACACTATAATAACATTTGGATGTTTTCCCCAGCAAGTTTCCACAATAGATGAGCATCTGTAGCATCTGGATTTGTTCCCATGGTGATGGTAACTAGTCTTCCTCCTCTCAGATGAATCCCCAAGCTGATCCTGCTGAGGACGCACTCCTCCAACATCCCTGGCTTCCTGTCACCATCGACGGCGTCCAGCTCCTGTCTAAGCCCTGGTTCGGAGAGACGGCGTACCGTATCCTGCTGACCGACATGCAGAGCGTCTGGGAGGAGAAGATCGAAGCGGCGGCCGTGGAGAAACGAGCGCAGGTACGTCGACCCCTACGTAGATGATGGAGCCTCATCTGAACCGGCCCAGTTAATCCGGTTCCTCTGTTCCAGGAGCTGAACCGGCGTCTGCGAGCGTCCGCCGCGGCATTCTTCTCCCACCTGTGTGAGGTGGCGCAGCCCTGCCTGTCAGGAGGTCAACAAACCGGTGGTGAGGTCCAGATGTCTGTGAACCGCCAGCAGGATGGAGACCTGACCCTGAGGCTGAAGAGCGAGCTGGCGGGGCTTCCTTTCTACTGGGAGTTCCGCTGCAGCCCTGCTCCTGTTGCTCTGGTACGCGTCGCCTCATCGGGACCCCCATCCGGACCCCGGCTGCTGCTCTTCTAACATCTAAGCATGTCTCTGCCTCTCAGGTGTGCGCCCACCTGGTGCGCCCCCTGTTGGCCATGAGCCGCCTGCTGCAGAGCCACGTGGAGCAGCTGGAGGATCTGCTGTTTAGGAAGGACGAAGAGATTCAGGACTACCAGGAGAACGGAGCCACGCTCAGCAGAGGTACAGAATACGACGACAGGAAGTAGAAGAAGAACCCTCTGGTTCTGGTCCAACTGTAAGTTATAGTAAGGAGAACTTCAGGGTGACGATTCCTCCGGGTTCCTCCCTCAGAGCTTCAAAGCCTCAGCTGCCTTTCTGTCTTTGAGAAACTCAGATGTTTCCTGCAGCAGATGGAGGATTTCAAAGCAGCGTAGAGCTCAGTTGACGCGTTTGGAAGGAATCTGTTCAATTTCAAGCACATTCAAGTCAATTCAACTCGGTTTATTTATATAGCGCCATCTATATGTCATCTAAAGTCACTTTACAGTTCACCAGATCACCCAGTCTGCATGACCACACATGGACCATGGCAGCTACGACTTTATTCTCATAATTTTACGACTTTATTCTTGAAATAGAAAAATCTCTAGCCTGGCCCTAATACTCCGTCGTACAGATATATCTGATCCCGCATGCTTGAGTGGAACTGCTTCTGGTTGATCGTAAAGCCGTATGTCCGGCAAAGAAGCTCGAGGCGGAGAGAAAGGTCCATCAACCCCCACCCTTAGGGTGCCCCCACCCTTAGAGGCCCCCCCCCCACCACCAGCTTTCATTACAAAGCTACACCCTTGATCGTAGCAAACTGTATAAATGTTGTTTTTGGGGTTTTTACATTATGTGTGAAGCTCATGGATCTCAGCTGTTCTGATAAGTAATCTGATTATTTTCTAATAGTTTGTTGGTGAATCAGATGTTTTTCTTTACCACAGAGCGCCTGCAGACTGAAGTATTTGACAAGCAAACCTACAGCGAGGATTTCATTCAGAAGGTAAGAACTCAGAGACGCACACAGCTGGTAAAGGAGCGAGACCCGAATCAGCCAATCAGGATGAATCCCACAGGGTGGGGGGGTTCTAACTCCACTCAGGTGTGGAATCTCTCAGCTCTCCGTTCTCATCCTCACCTCTGATATTTCTGTTGGATGAGTCCAGATTCAATGATATGTCATGTGACTGAATCACTGGGAAAGATTTTCACAGAGAAAAACCCTGAGAGCCATTTTGTTATTTAGAAAGCTGCTCAATTTGCTCCCTCTGAACTGTTTAAAATGATTATTTTTTTAATCTGTGGAGATTTTACAAACATGAATTTATTAAAATGACAGAATTCGTAAAAATGTTTGTAGAAATCTTGTTTCAAGGCTCTGAAACGTTACAATAAGTCAATAATTGCTCAAATATTCCAGAATGTTCTGAAACGTGGTCCTGGAGTGAATCTGTGAAGCTTTTTCTGAATCTATTAAACCATAATTACTCTTTAGAGAATAAATCATTTTAATCAAATGTCTGCATGAGGCAACTTTACAGGATTCCTTCTCCGCAGAAAAATGTTACAACTTTTAAACTAATCTTAATCATTTCCTGGTTATTAAGCTAAATAATAAAAATTTCATTAATTAATGTCAGATTCCAAAGGAAAGTATCATTTTTTAAAATCTTGTTGTTTATGTATTTCTGCTCCTTACATGTTTAATTAGATTTATTTACAAAGAACTGTAGATAATTATTAGGAATAAAAATCCTTTTAGTATTAGGGGCAGGATAGAGATTCATTTTCTTCTATTATGAGAATAAAGTCTTAAAATTCGTAATCGTAAAAAATGATGCAGTCGAAGCGATCTCATCTGCAGTGGCGGTTCTAGACCATTTGTACCAGGGGGGCCAGGGAGGGGGGCAGCGTGTTTTAATGGAGGAAAAACAGGCCAAGGGATTCAAATATATTAAGAGATCTGCATGAAGTAAAATCCTCATTCAGTTAGCCTTAATTAAAATTATATGTATTCCAAATGACTATATAAATTTTTCGCTTTAAAATGTTCATTTGGATTCTCATTCAAATCAGAGTAAAAATCCCGTTGCTATATAAATATCTAAAAGATCAAATAAAGCTATGTTTTTGAGTATTAGGTCAATAAACATTCATAATTTAGGAATTTTACATATTTTTTTATGTAATTTAAGTGAAAGCAGGGACCCTATCTCAATACAACTGATGCTATCACCTTATTGTTTTTAAAGTTGTAGGGAAATCATATTTAAATGTTAAATCATTCTGGCTTTAACATGTATATAAATGTTGTCTTTATCAGATATTGTCCCAAAAGTTAGAAAGTTTCTATTTAAAAAAAGAAATCCTGTGTTTTTTCCCCGTTATCTTCTGCAGGCCAGTTAGTTCTACGTCAGCCTGAACACCTAAATTCGGCCAATCATATATCAGCGGTCATCTGTCAATCAGATGTTTTCGGTCATAGCATCTTGATTCATGTGTCGCAGCTAATATACGCAACGGTTGAAACCAGAATCCTTTCCTTTCCCATTGAGTTGCGTCCCAGTGTCCACGGGGATGGACGTCTGTGTCTTCGGCAGGCGTAGAGCTAACAGAACTGGCAGCGTTGCGAGGCAAGGGCTCAAACATGTACGGCTGGAAGCCTTCTACACCAAACCAAGCTTCTGCCGCCCTGGCGTCCTCTTCCACAACATCTTCGTCCCCGCTTTCCTCCTCTAAATAAAAAATGGATGACGGAGCAGACTCATCCACGACCTCCGACACTAAACTCTCCTCCTCTTGCATGTTTCCGCTGTCCATAGCGTTCCTTGACAGCGTCGTTTCTAAGTCACCAATTTAGTGCTACTTGGTCCCAGTGGAATTTCCCATTGGGAACCTGCTAGCACTAAGATGCTAACTGGTTAGCAAGATGCTTCCGACAAACCGGCCACAACCAAACTTGCTTGCCCATGCTAATTTGCAACATGTGGTTGCAATAGTTAGAAAAAAAATCACTTTTTATTAAATATTTTCTATCTAAAGAGAATGACTTGTTACTGGAAGGATCCATCCAGAGTCTCAGTGGCTCCTCTGTGCCGTATATCAAAGGCCCCCCCCCCCCCCCCCCCCCCCCCCCCCCCCCGTGCCAAATTCCTCCGTATTGCGCTGAAGCCGCCCACGAACCAAAGCCCAGGCCCAAATAAAACGTGTGTGGGGAGAAATGTTGCCGGGACGCGTCAAACGTAGGATCAGACGTTGGATGGAGCTGAGTGTGTGAGAATCAGAGTTTAGCGTGTGTTTGCAGTATTTATCCGTCTGACTGCCGCTTGTGTCTCCGTCTGCCTCCGTTTCCATGGAAACAATCTGAACGTCTTTTTATTTAGCGTCCATATGCTAATGTTTCCCTTAAGGGATTAACATTCATCTCTATTTGCGCTACTTTATCCTGGATATATGCTTGTTTTCAGCTCTATGATTTTCTTTTTAAAGAGAAGGAAATCCCAATGTTTCAAGATTAAAAATATTTTTTTTATTATCTTTAATTTATGATAAAAATATGGAATATTTTATTTTTGCAAATACATTTTTATTTACTATATATATTTTACATTCTAAAAACAGTAAAGCATGACTGAGTGTTAGGGTCAGGGAGAGATCTTTATTTTCTCTTCTATTTCAAGAATAAAGTCTTAAAATTAGAATAAAGTCACAACGAGAATAGTCATGAAATTATGCGAATAAAGTCGTAAAATTACGCAAATAAAGTTGTAAAATAACGCGAATAAAGTCATAAAATTAATTGAATAAAGTCTTAAAATTAGAATAAAGTCACAACGAGAATAGTCATGAAATTATGAGAATAAAGTCATAAAATTACGAGAAACAAGTTGTAATTCATCCCAACTCTTCCCAGAATCCCGTTCTTCCCTAAAGTGAGGAATGTGGAGCATCATGTGAAGTTCTACTTTAGCGTCGGTTTGACAAATCAGGAAATCTTTTAGCAGCAGCATCAAAGGGCAGGATGGCAAAGTGGACTCTGGTTGCTGATTGGTGGAGCTGGTCGGCCGTCATCTGCTGGGCGGAGCTCCAAGCTTTCTTTCTAAAACAGGTTGATGTTTGATGACTTTATTCTCGCAATAGAAGAAAAAAAAAAAAGTCCAGCCTGGCACTAATACTCCGTCGTAGAAAAGTGATTAAAAAAAGCTAAATTTTCTATCTTTGTAAACCGTTCTGTTGGTCTTAACTAATGATGCGGTGAAAACTCCTCCTCTGAGCCTCCTTGCAGACAAAGATAAAGCCTGTTTAAATGTTAGGCTGCTGTTTAACATCAAACGGCGTCTAAATGATCCGAGCTCCAGGTACGTCACGGCCTTAATGTCTGTCCTGTTCCTGTAAAACACCCAGCTTCAGTTTCAGCTTCAGTATTTTTCCCTCCTTCGACATTTTATGGTTATTTATGCGCCAACAAGGAGCAAATATCGTCTCCAGAAATCTTGGGCCTCATCAACCCCTCTTTTACCAGGAGTGTTTGTTCCCTCTGTGGCTTTCATTTCCCACAGCAGAGGGGGAGTGAAGGGCAGACGGGTCGGCCATGATGACAGGAGCTGCTGCTTTTATTTTCTACTGCAGCTTTCCCTGCAGAGCCCCTCCCCACCGGGTCACCACACAAACACCCCGCCCAGCTCAGGTCAACATTTACATGGGTGGAAATAGTCTGAGCTTCCCACCGACACACACACACACTTATTTACACACACTTGGGTTGAAGTTGGCTAAAGACGGCTGTGGAGCCGAAGGCTAACAAGAAAAATCAAATCCTGTCAGGATCACATCAGTTTAAATGGGCAGAAATCTAAGAGTCCTATCATTGTGAGGACCCTGTAAGAAATAAAGGAAAATTCCGCTCATATTCTAAATTCAAACTTCTGAAAGTTGTTTAAATCTGAAATTATTCCATCCTGTTCAATAAATGAGTGTTTTTAATTCAGAGTAATTTGCACTAGGCTTACCGCACCGTGATGTCACTGCTGGAAGATGGCAGGAGGGAGGGGTTACTATATTTGGGCAAAAATGGATGCTCGTGAAAAATATACTTTTAATTTTTTTACAGATAAACACTAAATTCATTAAATCACAGCGAATGTATTAGTTTTAATTAAGTTCAATTCAGTTTATTTCTATAGCTCCAATTCACATCATGTCATCTCAGGTCACTTTCCAGTTCACCAGATCATCCAGTCAGATTGATTCCAAATTTTCTATTTAAGGAAAACCAGCTGATTGCATCGACTCATTGACTCTTCAGCAATCCCTCACACTAAGCATGCTTGTAGCGACAGTGGAGAGGAAAAACTCCCTTTGAACAGGAAGAAACCTCCAGCAGAACCAGGCTCAGTGTGAGCGGCCATCTGCTGAGGCCCACTGGGGTTCAAGGAGACAGAAGCAGACATAGAAAAAGAAGCATAGATACAAAAGGCAACTGTCAACCAGCTCCACAGGCGGCCCCGTCCAGGAAACACACAGCCAGGCAGACGAGCTCCGAGCCAGCTCCCATGTCAGAGGATGAAGAGAGCACATCCAGTTAGTCACAGTCAGAGAAACAGGACTACACTGGAAAACAGGCCAAGCTCCAACATCTAGAAACAAAGGTGTTGATGGCAGCAGCACAGCTGATATTTCTCTCCAGGATGGAGTCACAGCCAAACAGGAACAAACCAGATGAAGCTACTATGAGAAAAAGCAGAGAGAGCAGAACGTTAGAGATTGAACTAACAGATTCTGCAGAATAGGAGAACAGAGATAGAATGAAGCAGAATGATGAAAAAGGGGTCCCTATGTCCTCCAGCAGTCTAAGCCTATAGCAGCAGAACTATAGAGATAGATCAGGATAACCTGAGCCACTCTAACTAGAAGCTTTATCAAAAAGGAAAGTTTTAAGCCTAGCCTTAAAAGTAGACAGGGTGTCTGCCTCACGGACTAAAACTGGTAGTTGGTTCCACAGGA